TAGGTTGTGTACTTGCTAGTGAAACTTCCTCACCTCTCTGAAATTGGTGAATTTTGCCTCTATACTTTATGACTTGTGAAATTAAAATCCATAGAAGGTTAGGAATGAACACTTTGGAATGGCTGTTTTGGCTCACAGCTCTACAGATGGTGCCAAGGAAAAAAAAAAAATCCTGCCTCTCCTTCAGCTGTTAGGTAGTTTCAAATGTTTTGTAGTCACAAACTGCAACCGGATCAGAATAAGCCAGCAAACTGGGCATATACTTTACACAAGGAAGGGAAAAGAGGTTCTCCCAACTCAACCCCACTTTCTGTTTTCATGTCAGAGCAGTCAGTGAACTTGGCAGACAGTGGTTACAGAATTTCTCCACTACAGCTGCCCTTTAACCCACAGGGTATTTTCTGTTCCATATACTTTCCCCACTCCATTCAGTGTTCACTGTCTGGCTTTGATAAATGTATTAATGACTGCTTTCTTGGGTTCTAGAGATCATTCCCTGACAAATGTTGGCTGAAGATATGAATAGGGAAGAGAGAGTTTTGTTTAAAGTTACCTTTGAAGAAGGCCTTTATGAGAACGTGGGAGGTAGGCTGAATGTGAGTGGGGAGAGGGAATGACAAGTCACTTTTGAATTTAAAATTCATGATTCCATTTTGAAAGCTAGATAGTATCAGAGTAGACTTGAGCATACTTTTTAGTCTACACTTTAGGAATTCCTACTCATTAGGAATTAAGGGGCAGAAGAATAAAGCAAAACGAGCGTGACTTGAGTACGTAATATGTCACCAGCAAAACAGGGTATTTAAATTTGCCATGGTGAGGTACAGACACCTGATGAACACTGCAAATGAAAGTGGGTTTCTCTGTGAAAGTAGGTTAAGGCTGGTCTTGTAGCTCTGCTTTCATAACTTGAACTAAGAAGTTCTTTACTTCTGCCTTTATCCTTAATGCGTTAGATGGGCAGAGGATAACGTGGTCCACACCATATCTGGCTACACTCCACCCACCAAGTACAGTCTGCCAAAATAGTCCATAGTGCCTTTCAGGGCAACAGAATTATTGGGTAGGGTGTGAAGATTGTCGTATCACATTGAAAGAAAACTTTTCTTCTGTGCCTTTCCATGTATGTGTGAACATTCAGTCAGAAGGAGAATACTCTTGTAAAACTTCTGTTGCCACACCAGTTCTGACCTGTACCCTGTGCTATCTCGTGCTTGGGCATCTGTTTCAGTTGGTTGGCAGCTGTGGTATTACCATGCTGCACTATCACTAACATTAGTCACTTGGTTTTTCATTTTTTTAACTCTCAAGTGTGCAGACTAACCATTCTTCAGGAAACCAAACAACAGCTTGGCATAGTGTGGAAAAGACAAGAAAATAGAAGTTTCTTTCAGCAGCAGTTGTTTTAGGGTCTTAAAATACAGGGAAACTTTTCCTTGAGTTTCAGTGGCTTTTTTTTTTTTTTTTTCTCCTGCTGGTTTTGGAACAGATCCTAAGCCCCAAATTGCTTTCAGGTGTCATGGGATATTCACTGCAGAGTAAAATGTTATAATAAGAGTACGTGGGATGCTTGAGTATGGACTTATATGACATGGTTATCTCCATCCTGGCTTCTGCTGTTTGTGGGCCCTAGTATGCCTGTTAATAAACAGGCAATCCTGCTTTCACACTGCAGTATTCCTTGGCACTTCTCAAACACCATATTCCTTTGCTGCTACATTAACTGGTATAACATCCTAATGGTTGTACACCTCTCTGAAGTCCATTGTAAGTGTAGCTAATTCTGTTGTTAAGCTAGTCAACTTGTGTACTCTGCTTCAAGTCAGAAGCCAGCATTCCCTCTCCTCAGTTTACATGCTGCTGCTCTTTCAAAGACAAAATATTCCGAGAAATAACTTCACTGCCAGAATTCCAGAAGAAAATGGATTGTTCAGAATGCATTGCAACTGGTGAAGATGTTTAGGTTTACTCCTTGTCCACCAACTATTGTGTCTCAAGGTAGCCTGATTTAAGGAAGAAGAAAAAAAAATTAAAAAAAATAACTGGTTACACATCTGCATGTATAAGCATTGCTGAGTTCTGCATTGACTGTGGATAATAATACCTGGGTGAAGGAAGTTGGAGTATGAAACAAAATTTCGCAGAGAGCATACGAGAGCAAGCATTTTCCATGCCAGGAAAGAAAACTCTGAAGGGATTTTTTTTTTTTTCACCAATTGAAAACCCTCATAAAATTGGAAGTCTGAACTGGTGGGACATAATTCAGTAAGAGGGGAAAGAAGCTTTTTTGGTAGGGCATTCATTAGTGCGAGAGAAATAGTGACTGGAGATGCAACTTCGGTGTTAGGTGGGTTTGGAGCTAAGAGAGAGTTATTCCATGAGCTTAAAAATTAATGTGGTGAGATTTCTCCTCTGTGGAGAGTGACAGCTGGAAAAACTGACTACAGTGGGACCTGGCTGTTTGCCTGAAAGTGGATGGAACAGGAATGGAACAGTATAGTTTATTCTGAGTATGGTTTATACAGAGGGATTCATAAAAGAAGCTGACAGAGCTACAGACAGAAAATTGGCCAGAAAGAGTATGGCTGCTGAAAAGGAAGTGGCTAACTGCTAACTTAGAACCACAAAACCTCAAACTATATAATGTTTTGATTTGAACCTACCTGATTATGTAACAACACAGAAGCAAACAAGGAGAACACACACTGTTCTGGAATAATGAAGCTGCAAAGACATAATTTACAGCAGCCTAGATCAGGTGATAGTAATGTCTTAAAATACCCGAAGTGACTGCTTCTTAATTATAAACATATAGCTGAATACAGTATAGCTCTTTCACAATGTAACCTTTTCCTCCTTCAGTGATTATAGTAAGTTAAGAGCTTCACTTAAATGTCTTGCTAAGCTAATTTTCAGTCCAGCTGAAATGCAAAACCTAACTTGGATGGAGTGGAAGAAGTCAGCAGTTTGGGGAGAAATGATCTAAAAAAGTAGAGATAGAAAATGAAAAGCTTAGTGGAAAGTTTCAATAAAGGTTGCAGAGATGACAGTTGATCTCCTCCAGCAAGTGAGATTAATATCTGCCAAAGAGCAGTCAACTGGTTTCTTCAGAGATCTCAGCAATTTCTGAATGATTCTTTTTTGTTCTTTTTTTTTTTTTTAATTGACTAATAGCAAAAAAATAGCATGAAACTTCTGATGGTGTAAACCAGTGACAGGGCACAGGTGACACAGAACGGTGCTATGAGTTATTCTTCTGTTGGCCAGCTTGTTTCCAGCCTGGAGAAAACACATTACAGAGAATAGGGTTAATAGTTCAATTTTTAAGAGGCAACCATTAGATGGGAAGAGAGCGAACACCCTCCCTGCAAACCAGTCACTTCAGGAGTACAAAACAATAGACACTTGCTCCCTGTATTAGAGTTTCTTCCTCACTGCACACCTGCAGAGCCGCATTCTAGGAAGAATTTCTGACAGATTTCTACATTCCACCTGTGCAGCATGAATGAAAGGTGAGACATCCCCTACCACAGTGCTGTGGGACCTCTGGGTAAAGAAACTTTAGCTTGAGTTTGTGATTCAGATGGGAAACTCACATGAACCATTTTGTTAAGGGCATGAAATGATTCCAGGTTTGAAAAACTAAATGTGCTCCAGCACTTTGCTAGCTTGAGGCTCACTCCATCATCTTACCTGGGTAGCAAAGGCATTGGGGAACTACGGGGCTTTTTTCCCCCTAGGATGTATGTGGGACTTCAGTACCTGTCAGTGTTGAATGAGTGTCAAACCCGTCTGCTGAATACTCACATGTCACACACAAGGAAGGAGGAAAACATGGAGTTTGTAACAGATATTTCAAATGCGTGTGATGTGAAAGTCCCATTCTTTGACAGGCTAGTACATTGCTAAATGTAAACTAACTCAATGGACAGCAGAGAGATGCCAAAGGAATGATGTCTGCTGAGAACCTGCTCCTGTATATTTTGCAATATTGAAATTAAAGATTTCAAATGCACATGTGTAGGTATTTAGACATTTGCAGCTGTGAGCTTTTGCAGGTGATGGGCTATGGTGATAGGTACATGAGAGGCATGTCATCAACCAAGAAAAGGACATCAGATGGTGCATGACATCATCTGCTTCCCAGAAGTACCAGCTTTAAGGTAGCACTGCTGTTGCCGTCAGGTCCCGGCAATGTTTAACGTGGCCAGAACTGCGGAAGGCAGCGCCACGTTTTTCATGGGGGAAGCTGCTGCCAACAGAAAGGCTCAGGCACTGCAAAGATGCCTACGTTTGCCTGAGAGGAATTTGCCTGCCCCTTGCAAAGGGGAGCAGAGGATCAGTGAAAAGGAAATACATTTCCCTTCTCCCTTAGGGCTGTCCATTGCTGGTTTAGGAAAGCTAACCATGCTGTGGAGTTTCTGAGATCAGCACTAATGTTGGTGGGGAAGAGGATGGGAGAAGAGCAGGAGCTACCTGGCCTGGGATCAAGAAAGCTGTTGTGGAATGGTCTCCTGCAGAGCATAAAGATACTCTTGGCTGCTGCAGCTGCTGTAGTGTAGCCTCCTTCCTTTGGCCTTGCCCCTCATCTGAATAGACAGCCAACAAGTAATGAATAACAACTGTACCAATAGAAGTAGAATAGGTTTAATACAAATGTCTTTAGGCCTCACTCCCCCTGCTCCAAAACCAAAACAAAACCCAAACCAACAAAAAAAAGCCCCAAACAAAAGCCTGCAGAGCAAGGTATTTTCTTGAGGTTGCTGATATATGTAATATCTATACAAGAAGTGAAGATAACACTTTGAGGCCACAATATTTAGGTATGCAAGGGAGATAGCATTGTTCTGTTACAGAGCTGTGGCTGTATGAAGAACTGAAGCAAGCTTTTTTTCTTGGTTCCCAAGTAAATATAATCAGTCGTGACCTTCTGGTATTTCAAGGTGAGGTATGGATTTCTGTCACACAGCAGCAAATTACACTTTTATCCTTTTCTTCAGGAGTGCATCATTGATGAAGACTGTGAAACAGGGAAATATTGCCAGTTCTCCACCTTTGAATACACATGCCAGCTCTGTAAAATGCAGCACACAGTAAGTCTTGAATGAGAGGTGATTTTGTGTGGTCTTTAGAAACTCAATGTCTTGCGTTGGTTTTTTTCTGCCTGTTAACACAACTAGGTTTTCAGGTTTCTCTTCTCATGCCTTAAAACCTGCATTCCACTTCTCCTGAATTAAGTTTGGTTTGTTAGGTGGCCTAGGGACAGTGTAAACTAATAAATTTTAAGTTGCCAGTGGAATGGGTAAAGAGGAAATATTGTGGCAGCTCCATAGGCTCAGCTGAGTTGGTCATTTCCAGCTCTTGATTCAGAAAGAGAACTGCAGCAGCCTATGCTCTTGCCTTCAGTGACAACTTGTACAATGCTGTAGTGCAGTTGTGACTGTAAATGATACTTTTATATGCATCATTTACATTATTTGAATCTGTGAAGCTCAGGAAGTAGTAAACTCCTGTCTGTTGTGCTAAAGTGTAAGTGTTCCTGGTAGGAGCTATGGTTAGATTGTCCTCTGTAGGTGACAGGTACCCAAGTTCAGGCCTTTTCTGTGGTGAAAATCCAGTTTAAGAGCAGTCTGTCAAAAAAGGCCTTTTATCTGTCTGTCCTTTTTCATTTAAGTTCTGCTGATGGCCTCTTGTGAAACGAATTCATTCCTCAAAGCAGATAGTTAAGTTTACAAGCAAGAAAACCTTGCTATGACATCATGTAATCAATAAGGTTATTATAATCTAAAACCACCAGACTGTTCCTGAAATGATTTAAATACTTTTTAACTTCAGGGAGCTTCATTAACTTCAGTGGATTGAATGATCCATAAACCCAAGTCCTGAATATCTGCTCAGGTGTCATTAAGAAAGCTTATTCCTTATATTTTACAAAATGTTAAACTGATAATTTTTCTTGTTAAAGTGGAATAATTAAAAATCAAGATTATAGTGATTTGACACTTTTCAGTCTTTAGTAGAGCATTCATGGGATATAGAAAATAAAATGTGGGTCCTAGCTACACTCCTGTTGTAAATGGGAGCTCGGATTGAAGGTGGAGGAATCAATCCCCTGACCTAGAACCCCACAATTACTGAACATTCTTCTTTTTAATTAACAGGTCTTAATAGTGCTAGTGTAGTCCTGCTTCTTGCCCTCTATTAAGCACTTTCTGTGGGATCCACTGCAAAAGAAATCCTGATTTTGTATGGCTGCTCAGCCAGGGCACAGAAAAAACAGACACAGACAGAAAAAAAGCTGATAGAATGCTTACCTACTGGGAATCTTTAAGATGTTAATCAAACTACCTAAAAAAAAATCAAAGCATCACACCACTTTTATTAGGTTGATTTATTAGGTATGTATAGTTGAAACACTGGGACAATGGTCATACAAAGCTGTCTTTAGCTAGAGAGTTGCATTTCTGATTTGCAAAGAGACTCTTTTTCTAAATTTTTTTTTCCAAAGATTCTTGGTTAGAAGTAAGGTCTGGTTCGTACTACAACTAAAAATCAGATTTTAGTAATGTTTTTTGCTTTGCTTTTTGAAATCAGTCCTTCTGAATAAATTGTAGATTCCTGAATACATTCAACAATACAAAAAAAATCAGTAATGGTTTTCGTTGATAATGTTTCATTTATTATTTTTTCTTGAGTGTAGAAGGCTGCCCTGAAATCCGTATTACACTGTAGGATGTCTAGCTGCTGATCAATTTTGATATAAATGCTAAAGTAAGAATCCAGGTTTTGTAAGACTGAAAGTATAATAGCATAGAAGAAGTGCTGTTACTTGCTGCAAAAGTTCCTGCCTGCAAAATAGATCTGTGTATGCTTCATGTTGAGAACCTGAGCAGTTCTGTCTGAACAGTGGGAATATGACAGGCATACATTTAAAGCACATATGTGTAAGTTGTCTTCAGGACCAGGGTCTAATTCTGTTGATACATGCAATTGGTGCTGGAGTGACAGTTTTGTCAGGTGCTTTTTCCATTTGCAAGCCCTGCTCACGGGATGTGGAGTGCTGCGCAGACCAGCTGTGCGTCTGGGGCGAGTGCAGGACATCCACTGCCAAAGGGGAGAACGGCACCATTTGTGAGAGCCAACACGACTGCAACCCTGGAATGTGCTGTGCTTTTCAGAAAGGTACAGAGGTTTTGGGGTTTATCCTATTCATTTTAGTACAGGAGTGTTAATATTTAGCTCTTCTGCTCAGATGAAGTGGTTAAATCTCTACAGACCCAACAGGTTATTCTCCCTTAGCCTCCGGAGTACACTGTGTTAACCTGATTAGAAATCTTTAATAGAATTAGGAGTGAGAAACAGTGTGATAGGGGTGCACAATGGTGAAAGAAAATCCTCTGCTAGAGATGAGACCAGCATGAGAAATACAAAAATCTACTGTTTCTAAAAGAGAGTCTCTGACACGTAGAAGTAGCAGAGAGCTCTGTCAAATTTTCACCCAATAGAGGGAAAAAGAAAGAGAATTAAATGTGCAAAATAAATGAACAAGATTACTGAAACTGGCTTTTCCTTCGTGTCAGCAAGCAGACCATCAGAATCAGATTGGTGATACATTTCATCCCCTGATTTTTATATGAGCCTTCCATGGCACCACACTATACAATACTGACCAGAGAGCCAAGATAGGTAGAGGAATGATGTTCCAGATTATGTCATCAGTCCACATAGGAATGTGAAGCTTGATTTACAGAAGGGAGGAGAAGGTCTGAAATCAGTCCTAACTCCTGCCTCATCAGGGCCCAGCTTCTTCTACTGTTTTATACCCTGTAATGGTTTGAAAGCAAACCAGTGAGAGACTCCAAGTCAGAAATACAGTTTAATAGGAAAAAATAAAATAAATGCAATTATACAAAGGAAAACCACGGACAGAGTCAGAATACAACCTGACACTCTGTAGTTAGGGTGGTGGTAGCAGTCCAGATGAAGCAGTGGTCTCGTAGAAAAGATCTGGTAGCTCTTGTCCTCTGGAAATCCAGTGGGTAAGCCCCCCTGTGCTGTACTGAACCCCAGTTTATATCCAGGTGGGAGCACTTGGCTCCTCCCCCTGGGTGGAGCATCTCACAATGGGTTGATATCAGTCTATGAGTCATGCAGTGGGTCCTTGATGGTCCATTAAACAGAAATAGCTCCTGGGGGGAGCTCTGTATGAGTCATGGGGCAAGGCATGGATGGGCCCTTTAACAGGGAGGACTCCTCCTGCTGGGTGGGAAGGTGTTAACATCTCCCCTGACCTTGAACCTCTTTCCTTAGCTGTTATAGCCTGGGGTGTGAGGTCTGTCCTGGGCAGCTGCTACCCATGATTTTGTTAACAGCCCATGAGCAGTGACACAGAGGGTATAGAATACACAGTTTTGGTTCTACCCACATAAGGATAAACTGGTCCCAGCCCCTGTAGCCATGACATACCCTCTAGTTCCTGCTTTGATCATAGTTCACCTTTATTTTGTAGTGACAGGATACAATGCCATCTCTTTTCCTACAGCAGGAAGATACTTCTCTAGATAACTTTTTTCTTAGCTCTTGCTATGAGCAAGGGCTGACCTTGTACCTTCACTGGTACTGCTGTCCTGCTGGTAGCCTGCTGGCAGACCAGGCTGCTAGGGCATTTCAGGAAAACAAAGAAGAAAGCTTGAACACCATTTAAAGGCAAGTGTGTCTGCTCAGCTTTTCTTTGTCAATTTTGAGCATTACATAGTAGACCTTCAATGTTAGTCTGCATAAGACGTTCACACTACCTTGAGGATGTTAGTACTTGGCTTGAAATGAATTTTATTACAAAACTGTAACTCAGAAAGGAACAATACAATAAATAAGACTATTGACTAAAATGGGTGGAACACATTAAAACTGTAAGTAGAGCTGTTATAAATAGCAATAGATTTTAATTCTCAACAGTTGTCTGCTTTAGCAGTGCTTTAGGGTTTTTCAGGTTAGGCTTAACCTCAAGGCCTCTCCCCATCACTAGATGTCCTAATGAAGATTAGACTGTCTTTACATGTGGTTTTTTTTAATATAAAACTTAGCAAACTATGGAGCATTCACTGCATAAGATAGGAACTGATAAGTCCTATACATTAAATCGTGTGTATATCTGTGTATTCACTGACACACATAATATATATTTTGACCAAGCCTGTTTTAAAATTTCAAATTCTGATCACTCCACATATTTTCTTCTGCCATACCACAAAAATTGAGGTGAATGAAGAAAAGAGGAGGAAAGGAGGTTTGAGGAAAACCTGAAAGAATGGAGTTCAAGACTGACACTATAAGTTACTAGCATCAGGAAACTCAAACAACATATTCTTCTAAACAATTTATTACACAGGTTGAAATTCACCCCTGTGCAGGAACAAGGGTGCCAAGCCCCAAATGCTATCAGACAGCACTGCTTATTGTAGAATTACTGTAAGAATTTAAATGGCTGATTAGTTCTCGTAATATCATTATTTAGTCTCTGAACAATTGCTCTGTATTTTTAACTTCTGCAAAGAAATAAAGAAATAGGAAAAATAACAGAGGGGAGCTCTAAAATAAGAGATACTTCTCTGTTTAGATTTTAAGCCATTAATGCTCTGCATTCCAAAGGAATGGAGTTGTGCAGTATGGCTGTATTAACAGCAGCCTCTGTGAAGAAGCAGGAATTGATTATGCGTAAATCTCTAACGTCTTACTCCCACCTAGTAGAACAAACTATGCAAGTTCTTAATAAGAACTATATAAGACTCAATGAAAGTCTTTTTGTATCTTGTTTGTAGACAAAGATTAAGTCACGTCAGTTGAGCAGACAGTTAACAACATTAACGTTAGTAACGTTAATTTACTCTGGCATGCAGAACTGCTGTTTCCTGTGTGCACTGCACTACCTAAAGAAGGTGAACCCTGCTATGATCCTTCAAACAGACTTCTCAACCTGATCACCTGGGACCTGGAACCCGATGGAGTCCTTGAGCGATGCCCATGTGCAAGTGGCTTGACCTGCCAACATCAGAGGTAAAAATCAAAACTGGGCAAGCAAGCTGCTTGAAATTTTTGCAGGGTGTCTTTCTGTGCTAAATACAGAGCTTGCAGACTCTTCCAGACTGTCAAGTGTTTTGACAGCTTTTCTTATCAGTAGATGCATTGAAGCTTTATGAAACTACTGCTTTGTCCCAGACAGATGTGCCTAGTTGAGTTTGGCAACACTATAATCCGGTGTGAGTGAGGTTTGTGGATCAGGCTGGTACAGCTTTTCAACCGCTCTGGAAGTACTAACAGCTGTTGAGGTGTAGCATTCCAGTTTAATTCTGTACGTACAGCTTTGTCCAACAACTAAAACTTTGTTAGATTTAGCTTTTGATAGAATCTTTGCTTGTTTTCATACATAAACCAAAGACATTTTAATGCACACAATAAGCATAAACAGGGACGTTCCTGTGCTAGTGATCACCTTTACAGGCCTTTTCTATCTTTGCTTGTACTTTCTCTCAGTTTTAAACTAACCCGAGAAGCCAGTTTCCCTACTGCTAACTTAAGATCTGATGTTCAGACTTGAAACGCTTCATGCTGCGCACACTTAGAATCATAGAATCATAGAA